CATCGTAGTTGTAAAAGTCATACAAGATGGGTGCTGCAATTAACTTGTGCAGGAGCTGTGCAGGAGGCACGAGAGAAGAACTTCGTTACAAAGGTCCATTTAACAAAACAGTGAAGAAAGAAAATTGGGACTTACGGCATGTTCGACTAAACTTTTAAAGAGTAAGATCTTGCAATGAAATGTCAAAAGAACCTTTGATGTGATTTGAGAAAGAGATACTTTTAATTGAACAAAACAAACCCTTAACATACCAGGATGACAGCTCCAAGAGAGCTTCCAAAATTGAACAACAGGCTTTCAAACCCCTTCATTATGATGGCACCCAAAATCAAGTGTTTCATTTGAGATCAAGAAATATTCAAGTTACCGAATTTGTATCTTCCAGGACATGATACAGCAACTAAATTGACTTCCTACGTAAATTAAGCAAAACTAAAAAAATGATTACTTACTTCAACATATGGCTGCTCTAATCCTGTGTGGGTTTTGACATGCTTTGAGAAAACATTGAACTTTGGCCTTAAAGACTTTGCCGCTGCCCACCATCAACACCAAATTCGTTGAACCTGGCAATGGAAACATACAGATTAAAATGGAAGTACACAAAATGTGCTCAGCATTCCACATTGATGTTATGTCCGAACAAAGATCCAGGGATCCAGATGCAAAACCTTCTTCACGTGTCATTCACAAATAAAATAATGAGAGTTTATTACATGACGACGATGTGAGTGAAATTTATTTATTTATCATGATGCTGATGTTCTAGCTGTTCTCTGTTCATGGAGGATAATAGAGTTAAAAGGAGACCTCTCTGATCAGTTGCTTTACTCCCCAAACCCACCCAAACAAAGCAAAAAGAAGAAATTCAAAAATGATGGTGATGATGACAACAATAAAAATATATTAGCCGGCACAGGAAAATGTCCTAAAAAATCAGATAATTTGAGTAAAAGGGTTTGAACTGTAATAGCTATTAGCCCCAAGGATGTCAAAGCATGAGCTTATCATCCCATACAACTTTCCCACTAAATTTTACAAGATTCAGGAACCCTATATTCTTCATCGAGCTATGGATCAATTAGGCAACTCAAACATGAGAATTGATTACTTGGAAAGCCAAAGAAGTTTTCATGTTGCAGAAAACAAAAATTTGAAATAAGGTTACTTAGTTTCAGAAAGTAGTTGACGTCAAACAAGAAAGCCTGGGTAGAATAATTTATAGTGTATGGATGGCTAGAACAATTATATAAGTAAAGAAATACTTTATCTGTATTTATTCAGCAGAGAGAAACAAAAGACAAACTTTATGTACTGAATCTCCATTTGTATGTTTGAAATAAATAAAGCACACCGTTGGCTTACAACAAAAATGAAGGGCAATAGAAAGCAATCTCTGTGGCAAAGGCCTACTGGATTGATTTGTGGTTCAGGTATAAGGTTCTTTGCCATCCTGTGGATAACCAGAACTCCATACTCGTAATTGCATCTTTAATTCAACCCCCATTAATTCTCAATTACTGGGTGGTTCTTGTTATATTTTCCTCTTATCATTATTCTCAAAACTATTCCTGAATCCACGAAATTTCGAAAAATGTCAGATTTTTGGAATCTCAAGCTCTTCTAAATAACAATTCTAAGAATAACATCACCACATTGGTCTATGATATAAAATTAAAAATTGAAAATAAATAAATAAATAAAATCTCGATTTTCTTTCACGTCGGTTTTCAAGAAAACCAGTAAAGAAAGCTTCTCTAAGAAAGAAAAATATGAACCAAATTTGAAACAAATGGCTTAATTCTAATACAAAGTTACCCTGTTCTACAGATTCTCCCTATTCTACAGAAACTATATACCCTCTGCACTCGAACAATACAACCCCAACCCAATCGCTAGAAATTCCGCCTCCACCTCCACCTCCACCTCCATCTACCCTCCCCCCTGCGAATTCACCCCCAAAATTATCCAAACTGCCTCAGAAATTCCACATCCACATCATAAATCAAATTATTTTACACCCAAAAAACTCAGATGCGAAACCAGATTGAAGACAACAAGATATAGAATTCCGAAGCATCAAGAAATTTCAGCCAATCGTAGACACAAACTTTTTGTATTCAATATGACTCGTTGTTAATTTTGGAAGGAGTTAATTCAGTGTTGATTGCCCGAGCAGTTAGAATATACTGAACTTAAAATCTTTAATGCTCCTTTATCAATGTAAAGTATAGACATATGATATCATGGAGCTTAAAAGATTAACCAAAATACCAAAATTAAAGCAAATATATGATAGTTAAAATTAAAATTTGTTTTCTTGCTACGGGGTAGAAAATTTTTGGCAGAGCAAAACCTATTAAGTTAAAATTTACTTAGACAATTTTATATTATATTAGTACTTATATGTTAATTAACTCTTCTTAAGATGTATTGAGATAAATATATATACACACACACACATATATATTAAATATAATTTTCTAAAAAAATTCTTGGTCACATCTACATTTTTCAAAATTTCTTTTCCATGTATTGTACTGTCATTAGTGGTGTCAATCGAGTCGAGCGGCTCGTGAAAAAACAAGCCACGAACGGCTTGGGCTCGTCAAATGACGAGCCAGAGCTCGGCTCACCCGAGAGCTCGTGGGCTCGTCTTTGTGAAGGGTTATTTTTTTATTTTTTTTTCAGAAAAAACGTATATCTTAAAAAAAAAAATTTAATTAGCTCGCGAGTCGACCCACGAGCCACGAGCTCACGGGCCGAGCCGAGCTCGACCCGTGAGAAACGAGTCGATATCAAGATAACCAATACTTTATTTATGTATTGATATTTTGAGTATCCAAATGATCACGAGCCGAGCTCGTGGGCATACGAGCCGAGCCGATTGCCATCCCTAATTGTCATCTTGCATTATCTATCGTGTACTAGTCAATATCAAGATAACTAATATTTTATTTATGTTTTGATATTTTGAGTGTCCAAATGAGTGATTGAGTTTGTAATCAACCCCAATTTGACGCCATGATGAGCTCTAGGTTTTCCACACATAGCTAAAAGACCCTGACTTGAACCAACTAAAAGAGCTTTATAATTGAATGGATTGTTATCAACTAACGTACTAAAGACGTTGTTCTAACGGACCCCTTTTGTATTCCTATCTTGGAAACCATGAAAATGTGTCATGTGTATGAAGAAGAAAAAAGTAAAAACAATGGGTCATGTTGCATATATTGAAGTTTTCTTTATCTCAAGTATGAATACATGTCTTTTTCTTGTTACTATGAGACGACTTTAAAACGTGTTTGACACGATGAGTTGATCAATATGTAATAAACAATTGAACAGGGGAAAAAAAATCAAAATCGTTGCGTTGTAGTATTATTAGCATTTAACACGCTCGAGTCTTTTATATCTTTGGAGCCAATATGTACGCTATAAGAAAAATATTGTGGCGTCTACAGTTAGGAAAATATAAAAGAAAATTAAGAATACTGTTGGAATTCTAAAATAATGAAAAGAAACATTAAAATAAACAGTTACAATAATAAAAAAAAGGTTATTGATGTAGTAGCAGTATTGAAAGAAACTGATGTCTGTGTTGTACGTAGTTTTCTTAAAACAAATTTACCCCCACTATTGTGCAAGAGGACTGATAGCGTCTATCTCTCATAATACAACGGTTGAAAGCAGCTGACTAACACCTCTTTGCTATTTTAGACGAAATGAGAAAGCTTTCAATTCCATCACCAGCTAGAAAATAATTATCTAAGCTATAAATAACAAAACTCTTGAAAACAAAGAGAGAGGAGAAAGGGTGGTTAACTGGTTATATTGTCACTACAAATTTTATTTTATACTCCATATTTTAATTGCAGTTAAACTCCTCAACATTTGCTCATTGTAATAATTATTTCCTTAATTGTTTTGTTTGTTGAATTCTTATATTTAACATTCTATTAATTAGTACGTATCATTCTTGACGATAATTTATATCAAAATAATTTTATTTTCGTATTTTCAAATGAAGGGAAAATATTTTTCGCACTTTTTATTTAATTATTTTTTAAAAATATGATTGGAAAATAAGTTGTTTTACTCCATTTCAACGGACTTCTGGACATAAAATTATTATTAAATACAAAATATGTTAACTAATGGAAAATTTGAGGATAAGAATAACACGAAAACCCGTTAGGGAAATAAGGGCTATAATGAGCAAATATTAAGAAACTTAAGTACAATTAAAATGTAGTGCAAGAAATAAAAATTGTGGTGTGAATATAATTATCCAAAGAGAAAATTAGAAAGAGCGGAGAGTTCTCAAAGTTTTTGGTGTTTAATTTTGTATTAAAATCAAAATATTACAATAGCCATCAAGGTTTTGTAACCACCAATTCAATACAAAATTAAATAGAGAATTGAAATTTGAAAATCAAAAGCTTGATGTTACAATTCTTCATTCGCAAAATTATTGTCTTGAATTTTTTCCAACATACTTCATTAAGAGTCCCAATCCATGAACACTGATCTTTTTGATTTTCCACATTGGGCAACGTTTTTCCATTTCATTGAAATATTTTCTTTCCTCGTCTTTTTACATATAATCGAATCCGCTTCCCTATTTTCCAGATTATAGTGGATGTGGACTGTTTGCTGTCTCCCCATTCTATTATGTTACGAGAAATTATGGAATTCATTGTGGGGCTGGTGTCTCCAAGTTCTTATAGTGGACTTCTGCCGTGTCTGATGGGTTCTTGAGAATATAAAATGATCATGATTGTAAGAACACAAACAACCAAAAAAATACAAGCTTTTATATTACTTTCGAAAGGAAAAAAAATGACAGCTTAAAATATTAATCAAAATACTCATTTCGCTGGTGTGTGTACTTTCTCTTTTCATGAAACCAACTTCAGTACTATCTGCTTCTGAAATTAGGTGCATAGAGAGGGAGAGACAAGCTCTTCTCAAGTTTAAGCAAGGTCTTATAGACGACCATGACATTCTCTCGTCCTGGGGAAGTGGAAACAGCCAAAGGGAATGCTGCAAATGGTTTTGGTGTCGAGTGTAGCAACAAAACAGGTCATGTAATCGGCCTCGATCTACTTTATCGGTCTTTTGGAGGTAAGATTAGTCCAGTGTTGAATGAGCTGCAGCACTTGAATTTTTTAGACTTCGGTTTCAGTGATTTGAGAGTCGATAATCTTGAGTGGCTTTCTCATCTTTCTTTGATAAAACATCTTGGCTTGAGTGGTGTTAACCTTAACGAAACCAACTGGGTGCAGCCAATTTCAAAGCTCTCTTTCCTTGAGGAACTGTACTTGTCATATTGTCGACTTGGCAATACTCTGCCTGCCTTTGATATCTTTGCAAATTCTTCTTTCTCCTTTCTTTCTGTCCTCGATCTATCCAACAATAGTCTCACTTCCTCCATATTCCACTCATTTTTTAACTTAAGTACCCATCTTACTCACATAGACCTCTCTTATAATCACCTAGATGGCCCCATTCCTGATACTTTCGGGGAATTGAATTTTCTTGAGGAGCTTCGAGTGTCTGGGAATATGTTCCAGGAGATTCCAACATCCTTGGGGAATTTAAGTCATCTGAGCATACTACTAATATCAGATAATGCATTAAATGAATCTCTTCCTCATTTACTTCGAAAGTTATCAGGTATAGCATCGAAATCACTAGAGTGGATAAATTTACACTACAATCAACTTGTTGATTCCTTCCCAGATATCACCCAATTTTCATCCTTAAAAGAGTTGAGTCTTGGCAACAATCAGCTGAAAGAGTTTCACTCACAAAGACTTGGGCGACCTTCAAGTCTTGAAACTTTGGATTTGTCTAATAATAAACTTGGAGGATCCTTGCCGGACTTGAGAGCATATTCATCATTGCAAGAATTACATGTCTACGGAAATCAATTAGAAAGGCTACCCGAAAGTATTTGGCAACTTTCCAAACTAAAAATTTTGGACCTCTCTTCAAATTCATTGGAAGGAACAATCACAGAATATCACCTCTCAAAGTTAGCCTACTTAGACGTGCTAGATTTGTCCTACAATTCCCTAGCTTTGAACACAAGCTCCGATTGGACTCCTCCATTTCAATTGAGCTCATTATACCTCAGATTTTGCAATGTGGGACCTGATTTTCCAAAATGGCTTCAAACTCAGAAAAGTCTTTCTTACCTTGATATGTCTTTTGCTAGTATATCAGATACATTACCTACTTGGTTGTGGAATATGCCTTCTTTATCAAACTTGAATCTTTCTTCTAACCATATCAGTGGAGGAATTCCTCATCTATCCCCAAACTTCACTGGTATTTCATATTTAGATTTGAGTTATAACAATTTTTCAGGTCCAATTCCATCATTTCTTTCTCATTCAATAAAATTACAACTTTCCAAAAACATGTTTTCGGGATCCATTTTTCAGTTATGTACAACTTTCACTCACTTGAACTTGGAGGTCCTTGATCTCTCAGATAACCAATTGACAGGAGAGCTTCCCGATTGCTGGATGAACTCAAGTTCTTTACGAGTTCTCAATTTGGCAAACAATAATTTCTCGGGTAAAATTCCCCCAACGTTGGGCCACAACCCTCGACTTCAGATATTACATCTGCGCAATAATAATTTCGTTGGTGAACTACCTTCCTCTTTGAAGAACTGCACTTGGCTGCGCATGCTTGATGTGGGAGGAAACAAATTAACAGGAACTATTCCAGAATGGATAGGGACGCACCTAACAAGTTTGACAGTTCTTAGCCTCCGATTTAATAAATTCCATGGAAACATAGATCCAACAATTTGTTACCTTACCAATATTCAAGTCCTGGACCTCTCAAGGAATAATATATCTGGGGAAATTCCACAGTGTTTCAACTATTTCACTTCTTTGGTTCAAAAGTATAGTTCAATGGAAGGCAATAGTTTTTATAAATTCTGGACTTCTTTCTATCACTTTTACCTTGATACTTATGTTGACAATGCTTTGGTACAATGGAAAGGACAAGAGAAAGAATATAGAAAACTAGGACTTTTGAGAGGGATTGATCTTTCTAGCAATAAGTTAGTTGGAAATATTCCTCATCAATTTTCTGATTTAAGGGCTTTAGTTTTCTTGAACTTATCGAGAAACCATTTGACGGGGAATATCATTTCAAGCATTGGTCAAATGGAGATGTTGGAATGGCTTGACTTGTCTAGAAACAAGCTTTCTGGGAAGATCCCGAGCAGCCTTGCAGAATTACATTTTCTCAGCGTTTTGGACTTATCATACAATAATTTGACGGGGATGATTCCATTAGGCACTCAGCTACAGAGCTTCAACACCTCTGCGTATGCTGGGAATAGCCAACTCTGTGGGCTTCCTTTGGCAGAGTGTCCTAGAGATTCTCCTTACCCTTCTTCAATTGATCATGGAAAGGGAAACTATATTGAAGAAGATGACGAGTTTATAAGTCGAGAGTTTTATATCTGCATGGCATTTGGTTTTATAACTGGATTCTGGGCTGTCATTGGTACTCTGTTCCTCAAGGATTCATGGAGACACTCCTACTTCAACTTCCGGACTAACATTGGCGATTGGATGCACGTGACAACAATGATCTATGTGACAAGATTCAAGAGAAAGTTTTGGGCCTAATGGTATAATATATATGGACATTAATTCGGAAAAGTTAGTCTGTCTTGTTAATAGCCTAATCTTACTTTGTTTATGCTGAAATCAGGTGCCTCTTTTCAGAAACAAGAAGTTTCAACTGTCTATCAAACCAGTTGGTGGCTGGAGAGGTGCAGGGGCTATGGGTGAAGTTGTCTGATTAACACCAATGTCTTATTTCTAAGTATATTCCTATAAAAAGCATCCTCAGTTGTATACTAGTTGCTTTAATAATCGATGTAAAAATAATGAGATCAAGTAAATTTCCTGATTAATTATTTGCTTTTAAGGCATAAATAACTTCTTTAATTTAAAAATCCTTATATTTTAAAGACAAAAAAATAAAAATAAAAATCTAAGCTTACCAATAACTTTCAAGTCGGCTACATGAATCATGAGTAGGGAAAAATATATAAAATATATGGATACAAAAAACCTTCTCATGCTAAATTTAAATTACTGCTCTCTTGTGTCTTCTCTCTGCTCAAACCTCATTTTCCTCTCGTCGCATTCAATTTCAAATAACTATTTGGGGTTCCTCGCTTGATCAAGCAGTTAAAATTTACATAACAAACAAGAAAACTTTTCATGGCTATGGAACCAAAGAACGATAATTTTGCACGTCTTTGAGAACGAAAGATCTGTCGAGCTTGGGGATTTGAGAGACGCCTAACGGCTTTGCCATTTAAATTTGTATTTTTTAAGGTATTGTTCAATGTCTTTCATATCCAAGTTGCCACCTCTCCTGCGGTACACTCTCCTGGTCGAATAAGACCGTCTCTCACTAATCGCAATGGCTATGTCATTTGGAAACAGATCTCATAATACAAAGGCGTGGAGGATAGTTGACACAATTACTATTAGATTTCACAAATGAAGGTGATCACAAGCTGAAGTCTAATTTCAGCATATAACCATCTGTGACCAACACATGACCAGCATGTGACCATTGATTCTGTTACTGCCATTATCCTTTTTTTTGTTGTTTTGTTTGTTGCTCCTTGCTGAGCTGTTTTGTAGTGTGTAGCTTTTCTATTGGTTGAGTTTGTTATGTACAGGGCTGTATATTCCTTTGTAGTGTGTCATAGACTCATAGGCTGTATATATATAGGTTGCCTCTTCAACATATAATTCATTCGCTGGATTATAATATTTCCAAGAGAAAATTCTCAAGTTCACCATTTTCTTTCTTCTCCAATTTTATATTTGAATTCTTATAAGTACTTCAGCCACTGTAAGTGCAGCAACAGTGGAGAGGAAGACAGTTAAAGTTTTACTTACCATATTTGTGACCATGTTTGAATATCTGATGGAGGCAATGGCTGCTCCAGTCACTGGGAAAGTGTAAGCCACCATGCCAATGAGAATTTGCAGATCATTATGGAGCAAGACTTCAAAATTCAAGCAAAATTGAAAGAAAAGGTATTGATATAAAAATTATAACCCAAGCCTGAAAAGAAAATTAGACGGATAGACAACCAGAGAAAGCTGATATAACTGCTAAGAAAGCAATAGGTTCTCTCTGACATCATAAACCTAATTCAGCGGTTAGTTTGTTTACAGAAACAACTATATTATTCATCATTCTCATATCACAAAGTTAAAACATCTGAAATTCATGCTTATGACATTTTTCATCAGCCCAACAAGAGATCTTTTATATTTGTTACAAAAGAAAACTCACATTTAAGTAATAGTACATGACCAAAATTCTTTTATTTATCTGATAGAAGGGCAAGAAGAGTCAAGGATTCTTGCCCCCATTGCCACCTCTTCTTCCTCTTGAATCATGCTTGGGGTTGGGTCCTGCGTAGTCGTAATCTAATGTGGCATCGACCTTTAGTAGCTTTCTTGGATTCACATGGACCTAAAAAACATGGAGCATAAGGATCATTTAGAAGAGAGTGGGGATGGACGGATTTGAGTTAGAAGTGTCAAAATGTGTCGATCATCATAAGTGCACATGAAAAGCCCGGTCTAAGCACCATTTTGTCCTTGATGGTCTGTGTAGTGGACTGGACCGCCTCTATAGCCAAGCATGCAAACTTATAAAAAGAAAGCCTAAAAACATGGTGTGTAAAGACCGACTCACATGGACAGCGCCCTGTCGCCACCCCTTGTGAAGCAAGTCGACTTTGTTCATACCAATGGCGCCAACGCCCTGAACTATACCTATAAAGGGGAAAAGAGTCAATAATTAGGACCTTGCGATGACAATTTGTCATATATATTCACGATATACAATATTGGAAAAGGTCGAACAGTAATATCTTTAACAGAAATTAAAATTTAATATAACGAGATAGGAATAACAAAAGAAGCTGACAATTTATGTGACTTTTGTATCTATAATTTCGAACAGGGTGCTGCTATTTCCAGGATTACAAATAACTGTAAATTGAAAGAGTACTGTGAAAATGGAAAAAAAGGTCACTGGAAATCTCTTGGTACAATTCTAACGAATATATGATTTTTTTAGATTTGACTTAGGTTTAATTACCTGGAGACAGTATGAACAAGAGTAAGAAGAATGAAACTAGAAGAGAAATCTTAATCCTTAAGCTCATAGCAGTGGTCATTGTATATATTCTTATTATATAAGCTGCCAGAACCTTTGAGTTTAAGATTACAAGGGGGAAGAGAGGGAAGTGGGTTCTTTTTATAGCCAGAAGTAGCGTATAGTACCTTGAGAACTGTATATACTGTTGTCATTGTGTAACCCACCACCATTATAATGGCAATTTTACTTTAGGCGGAGTTTGGTTTATTTGGGGATATCACTCCTTGTTTAGTTCTTTCGTATTCATTGAATCCTTTTATCCCTTCTTCCCGTAGATCTATCCCGAATAGTAACGTGATTTCACGTTCCAATTGAACACTTTCAATTTTTGCAAAGATTTTCTCTTTACCAAACATATGCAAATTCAATCATAAATGTTATAAATTTGGGAAAATTGCAGCCACGGTACCAAACATTTCACTTTTTTGCAGACTTTGCCCAAACATTTGATTTGTGCCACCCACGATGTCAAACCTTTAAACAATTCGCACCCGAAGTCCAAATTGACAGAAACCGTTAGTTTGACCGTTAGTTGACCAATAATTAAATATCTGACCAATTTTAAAGGGTAAATTTATAATTTTACATTTTTCATATGAAAAAAATTAAAATAAAAAGGAAAAGAACATTTCTTCCTCAAGCTACTGTTCATCTTCTTCCCCCTCCCCCGGCGAAGATCTGTGTATGTTCAGTTTACTCCGATAGTGCAACCAGCCATGGCCATCCGATCCGCTGCCGCCAAGCATAAGCCTATACGGAAGCAAAATTCCACCATTCAAAAACTTCTCAGAAAACCTAAAATTCGTGTCTACCCAGGTAATTTTTTCTTTTCGAATCATCCAAATCTCCACCATCATTAGCCTAATCTCTACTTCTATTAGCCCCATCACCAGTACCTTCTCCCAAACAGATATCACGACCACCGAAACATAAGGGATATGAAAATCAGGTAATCGTGCAGTTTCAGCTCATATTAACGAGCAAATGGAAAGCCCGTTTTATCATTTTAATTCCACAAACCAATTTCGGTAGAAATAATTCCCATGTACCAAATCTTTCGAAAAATTTGCAATTCCCATTTCAATTCCCACAAACCAATTTCTGCAATTCCTATTTCAATCCCATGGCTAAGACCACAAAATGAATTTCAAATCATATTTTGAAGGGAAAAATCGATATTTGTGATCGCAAATTTTGAACAAGCAAGTTTTACTTTATAAAGGAAAAGTTTGTGGAGGTGAAGGTGGCGGTGGTGATGTCATCAATGCCCGTGGACGTTTGGTTGGGTGGGTGGGGGTAGCTACAAACGTTGGCTGGGTATGGGGTGGGGATGGAGTGCGGGAGTGGGAATGTGAGGAAGAAGCAGGGATGTTCTTTTTCTTTTTATTTTAATTTTTTTCATATAGAAAATGTAAAGTTACATATTTACCCTTTAAAAATTGGTCAACAATTGGTTAGATATTTAATTATTGGTCAACTAACAGTCAAATTAACCGTTTTTGTCAATTTGGACTTCGGGTGCGAATTGTTTAAAGGTTTGATATCGTGGGTGACACAAATCAAAGGTTTGTGCAAAATCTGCAAAAAAAAGTGAAAGGTTTGGTACCGTGTCTGCAATTTTCCCTATAAATTTTGGACAAAGGTTGAATTGATGATATAAAAAAAAAAAAGTTAAAATAAATAAATAAATTAAAACATTAATTAGGAATTGAACTAGCCAATTCAAATTTCAATGGTTATTTTTCACTGTTTTCAAATTGCCAGTATTTGACCTATAATTTTCAATATTTTCGAGTCTAATCAATCGGTCAATGCTTTTTGACAATGTTGATATTAAGAACGTGGCATCTTTTTCGAGCAATCACTTTGCCCCTCCACCCAGTAGCTATATACAAAGATGATAATTTGACAACGTTGATATTAAGAACGTGATATCTTTTTGGAGCAATCACTTTGCCCCTCCACCCAGTAGCTATATACAAAGATGATAAGATGCATTACATGTGAACCACAATAAGGAAGTCAACTGAATGCACTATGTGTATATATGTTAGATCAAGATAGAACCCAACAGTATAATGCATGTGGACACCTTTAGCAAAATCTTGCATGGCTTAAAAATTGCCATTTTCAGCTTGGCTTTTAGCTTATTCTTAACTTTTTATAAGTCAATCTGCCTTTAAGTCATAATGCTATATTCTCCTTTTGTTTCATGGTATCAATGACTATGGAGAGTGTCCAAAAATCCTTGTTGGAATTTAAGTGCTTCTACTACTGTTTGAGACAATGCAAAATGTGAGTATGAGTATGCAATGCACAACTAGAGTTAAAGTTTGAACGACTTTTGTTGAATTGCGTTGTTTAAAAGTTTAAACTATTTGAGATGACATACATATATTTAAATTTGCTAGGAAATGTGGGGGGCAAAATCCCTGTGTTATGTACGTGCAAAAAACTCCTCCCATCCCTCTGCCTCAATAGATGATAGCGAAATTTGAACTCATGACTTCCTTTTAACTCACTTAAAAGTTTAACTTCTTAGAGAAAACTTCTATTAGAAATTGGTATTCAACAAGCTCCTTGTGTGGAAGCGGTATTCAATTTTTCATCACGTAGGCATAATGCACAATTTTCATAAATGGGTGGAGACTAAACTTGAATTCAAGACATTTGTCCACCGAACTACAACGTTGAACCATCTTATATAAAAGTTCAATCTTTAGAGAAGATATATATATATTTGTTTAAACTTAACTTTCAACGAACATATTGCACGTGTAAGAAAAATAAATCGTGAATCCAATTTTGTTTAGTTTTCACACATAAATGAATTTTAACTCGCATTAATAAATTTAAGCGGTTAGAAATGACAAAAATAAAAAATAAAAATTGAAATTTTCCTAAATCGATGGTGACACACATATCGCAACATAGAATTTTAGAGTGTCTATGCTGCCTCTCATTTTTGCTTTCGTCACTTCAATTTTGGAGGAGACAAATTTGCAAGTGACCTACCAATTGTCAGCTATTTTCGAGGGTATTTGGAGAGCCATTATTAGTGGGAGCACTATCAAAAGGTACACAACTCATTATATATTTTACTAATTAATTCTATTTATTAAAAAAACGAAAAATTCTCTTATCTTATTAGAAAATGAAGTCGATTCAGCACAGAAAAATAAATTCAAGCTGATTGCATATTAATTTCGAGTATCGTATGGTTTCATATAATTATTTAATATTCATTTGTATCAAGAAAGGCTGCGACACGCACTAAAATTCACTCAGCAGTGCTCAATGTGGCACGTAATTTTATAGCCGTTGATTTAGAATGATGATCACAAATTTCCCATTTCTCTGATTTTTATTATAATAAGTTGACCTTTTACCAAATTATACTTTCCACGAGTAAAATAATTGCTTGATTTCCTCAAATTAATGATGAGAAAGATTCTTTAGTGAAAGAAACATTTTCTCATTATTTTAATTAAATATGTTCAAATGAAAAAGAAAAATAAAATAAAATCCTACTTGTTACGCCTCGACTCGGAGACTCAAAGTAAAAGTACCACGTAGGTAAAAAGTCAACAAGAAAATCAAACAAAGACCCATAAAGTCAAAATATGAAGAAATCAAACAAAATTGAAATCCTTACACTGCAAGGCTCAAGTCCATGTTGAGGCACTGCCTCATGAACAAAGCACTACAACTTAGGCTGAAACACTGCCTAAGGGAGCAAAAAAAGGAGCTAAAGCCTCCACTTAGAGAACCACCTCAAAGATCTCTTCAAGCCTCTCAAACTCGTCTGAAGTTCATGAAGCCGACGTTGTCTCTTGTAATAAATGTGTATATCTTTTAGAAGTGATTGATGTAACACTTGTCATAAAGTTTGTTAGTGTGTCAGCCTATTGTATAGGACAGCTGGCCCGTTATCAATGTATTAATTGTATAAATAGACAGTGATGCGAAAACTCAATTAGGGAGATGACGTCATTTGGTTCTGATCCAACGATCACCACGTCGGCTAAAATAGTATAAATATGTTCTCTTTGTAACTGAAAAGGGTGTTGGTTGGAGAATTGACAATTGAAACTCAAAAAACACATGAATTTTTGAGTGAAATATACAAACACTTTGCTTATTTTCTATCTTCTTTACATGTTTAAGAGCCACGAATCTCAACATACAAGACAATAATTTATACACGCATTTCATCTATCATTCCACATATTCATGTTTGTCACTACATAGATTAGTTTGGTTTCCGTCCGGTAATCGTTGTCAGCGCGATCGCTTTTGTTTCACCCGCCGAAACCTGAACATTTTAAACTCTCGCCTCAAAGCACCCCTGCATCCATTTCCTCCTTGCTACTGCCTTTACTTCGATAGGAACGCACAGGCATAGTGCTTGACTTGGTGTGAGTGGGCTCGGCATTTGTTGGCACATTTTTTGGGATCTACGCTACTTATGAGAAGAAGTTACTTTATGTCTTCAGTTTACGATTTGAAACTGTATTTCTTCGTTACTAAGATAATCTAGTAATCTTGATGTTTTTCTCTTCAACATGATGTCTGTTACACAAACTTGATGTCGTGTGATTTCTATGTTATGTATGATTATGTCTAAGAGCATATTGGTTAAAGTAGATTCTTCTTTTCAATCAATCAAAATGCTTCTTTGTATTCAGAGAAACTTCACCAAATTGGTGTACAAATTTTACACGAAAAAGAAAGTTTACGGCACAGCAAAGAGAAAAAATAAACAAGAAAAAAAAACCATAAAAATTACAGTTTATATATCACTTGAAAGCCGAAAAATAGGTGGCAAATTTTCCAAATACAACTGCCTCTGGACAATGGATTCTTCAATCCTGTTCCCAGCTCTTTCATAGATATTTACGACATCCCAACATCGGATTCTCCAAATACTAAATCAAAATAGATTATACATTCAAAAAAGAATGGAGAGAGAGAAAAATATTGTACTCTGAAGAGATGAAAGAGCTAGAAGTATTAGTGATGCAAATGAAATTTCTTAACTAGAAATTTTATAAGACTGCCCTGAAATGAGCAGACCTGATCTTCCTCAGGAGATCAATTTCACTGAAATGAGTACATGTTGAAAGAAATAAACTAGATTTTATGCAAGTACCCAACCGTGACAACGGAAGTAAGACTTAGACCAACCCTTGTTCTTTCTACTCAAAATGATGTACGATATAAAGAAAATTAAGAAACGGGGGGAAATGGTGGTGGGATTGCTGGCTTAAAGTGTTGCGGAAACCAAAACTCGCCAACTGTACAGTTCAGCACCTTAAAATGCTAGGAAAGCATGGTAGCACGAGAATAGCATGGGGTGTATCTTGTTAATAACACCGGGACAGACCACCAAATAATCACATGGTCTTGTTTGTCCATTCCATATCAGAACTGTTCACTCTTGAACCCAATCTCCAAAATTCAACTAGCAGTTTGACTTATCAAGGTAGTTCTTCAGGATGTTCCTGGAAGCCCCAACCACATGACGCTGGCGCATGAGTTTGCGACAACACAAACGAAAATGTTAATGACCCAGCACGTTGAAAGCAACCCCGACCCGGACTCAACAAGACCACACGCATGTAGGTAAAAGAATATGTACTGGACTTGATGATGCAGCCTTAAAAAGATATGGCATGACTAATGGCCAACTTGGCCCATTCAGCAGATTCCTTGATCAAATGGTCATCTGAAGACAAGCACTCATTTAAAAACTCTTTGCTTGACAGAGATTGCTGAATCAAGGAACCTACATTACTTCCCAGAGTATCTGCCAGATCGCCCAGGACACCAATAGCAGTTTTCATCACAACATCATCCCTAAGATAGAACAGAAGAAACCTTCAGATAAAAATAAACAGAAGACATTGAAACCAAGAACCAGAATTGCAATAAAGTATACTCACATATCTTTCTCCATATACATTCTATCCAGGAATTGCAGGATGTGCGATGCATGTGGGATCAGAAGCTGGGTTTTAGGAGAGTTCTTGAAGCCCTGTAATATACCAGAATATGCCTCCAAGATTCCATTTCTTAGAAGATTAGTATATTCTATCATCTCATCATCAGCACCTGATGTGCGGGCAGACAACTCTGCAGCACTCTGAAGCATGGGCATGGCATACATCAGATACTTCTCAAAATTCTCTCCAATTGCCAGTGTTATGTCACCAAAGCATGAAAAGATTGGTGGCTTCACAGATCGGTGCAGCTGGTTGCTTGACAAGTCTTTAAGAAGCTGAGTCATTATCCCATCACAGTAAGGAAGAATCTTATCCTCCAACGCCCTGCAAATATCCCCCACAACACCAACCGTAACAGCACAAACTTGGTACTCCTCAAAGTTCTGAAGACCCATCTCTAAGTACTTGTAAAATTCTGGCATGTACTTTGTAAAGTCAGGGCCTGTTGTGTAGGCAAGTGCACCAATGGAAAGCATTGCTTCCTCGTGGACAGTGGCATTTCTACTAGCAAAAACCCGGAGAAAAAGATCCATAATCTGATCTGCATACTGCAAGAAGGCATGCTTAGTGCCATCAGATGCCCCTAGTTTCTGAATAATGACCTGCAAGCACCCGCAAAGAAGGCCTTGCAATTCATTTTGCTTCTCTTTCTCATCCGATGAAAGCTTCTGCGATTCAAGAGACTTATGAAGCTCTGTCATGATAACTTGAACCAGTTCCAAGATTAAGTGAGTTGTTTCACCAGTTGAGCACCTAACTACTTCATTCAGTGTCTCATATGCAGCAGTTCTAAGTCGTGACTCCCCAGCATCTTCCCTGTGAGTGGCATTAAGTAGAGACTGGACAATCGCTTGGAAATAAGGCGTTAAAGGGGATGATGAGTCCACATCCTCGTAACCTTGGGCCAGAAAATAGAGGGCACCACACACTTTTTCAGCAACATTTGGAACATCTTGCATGCTTTGAAGCAGAACTGTAATAATCTGTTGGCAGTTTGCAGGAGTAATAATGGGCGTCTCCACCATTGAACCATGAAGAAATTCGAATATCCTTCCCAGCGTCCATGCTGTTGTATCCTTCACATGGCTGCTTGGGTCGTTTGTTAAAGCGGTGAGCATGAAATTTAGAGCAACATTGACAATAGGCATTAATTTGTCTGGTGAGGGACCTTCCAATATGGAACCGAATGCATAAGTAGCAGCTTCTCTCTGCCTCCAATCAGATTTTGTAATATTCTCTTCAATAAATGGCATGACAAGTGGCACAATATCATCCCCTACAGTGCGGGCAACCAAACCAAGGCAAGTACCACCAGCCATCGCGAGATTCCAAGCACTCTCATCCTGATCCTGATCCTCTTCTTGCTTAAGAAGTGTCTCAAGGAGCATAGGAACAAGTGCAGGGATAGCCTGCTTGATAAAATAATAGCACGGAACTTCAGAATCTGGAGTAAAATCGCTTCCATACTCATCCAGAATATCAATCTCCTCATCACAGATAGAGCTCCAAAACTCAATGGCTTGAAGAGCAACTGGTTCCACATCTTCTCTGACAGCCTTGGATGTAACGTTGAAAATGTCTTGGATGTACAAAGCTAATTTCTCATAGTATATAGACCCAATAGAAACCAAACATTCAAAAGCAGCCTGACGAATTTTCACCTCAGGAGAGAGAGTGGCCTCACAGACAACTCTCATTATGTAATTTCGCTCCATATCATTGGAAAAGTTTGCCTGAGCAAAGCCAAGAGCATTATACAAAGCTTGGGTAGCAGAAAGTATAACCTCATTGTTACCTTCATTAGCTTTCATACCCTGGACAACAGCTGTAAGTATCTTATTTACTTGATCTTGATCAACGACCTCTGGAGCAACTTCTTCACACATATACCCCAGAGTTTCAAGGGTAGCTTGCTTTACATGAGGTGGGACCTGATTAGTATTTGATAAGAGGGATCCTATCAGCTCAGGCCACTGTTTATGGGGTAGCTCGATGCCTGCAACCTTTGCAATGACTTGTGAAGCAGTTGACCGAGCATCAGGCACAGGAGAGGAGAGTGTCTGTAACAAGCAAGCCTTAATTTGGTTCTTCAGGGCCACATCTAACGACAACCATCTTTGTACAAGCTCATATTTTTTATGTTGCTCTTTGGCATCCAACGCATTTTTAAGAATCAAACCTGATAGTTTACGACTTTCAACTGGCTTCTCCTCACTAGCAAGCTCCCCAGAAAGAGATAATAGGAAACCAGGAAGGTTTTGCTCCTGAAACTGGTTTAAAGTTTCTTCAGCATGTTTCCGCACGGTTGAATCAACTGCTTGTGCACTTAGAAGAACCTGGGTGACTTCCATAGCAATATTTTCCCCTGCCAATGTCACATGGATGGAGAAATTTACCGTAACAAACAGGAAATGAAAACTAAATAAAAATCTTGAGTAACCTATGGACTTTAAAGAAATAATAATTTCAATCATGACAAGAAGAACAGCATAAGAAAGAACAAATTTTGAAGCTTGGAAAAAAAGAAATAGATAAAAATCATAGGCAGTATACCGTGTAAAATTAAGAGTGAGTATTCCGATCATTACTTTACATAGCCTTGTTATTGTGCCACATCAGCACTGGTTGCCATTCATGGTAATGAATACAGGGATAGAGTAGAATTATACAATATAATGCATTCGTGGAAACCGTGCTTATGTGTATGTATATGATATAAATTCAGAAATTCTCAAAGTAGTAGAATTAAGATATAAATTCAGAAATTCTCAGAAGTAGTATAATTTACGAAGAACCAAATAGTAAAATAAGCGCTGAAAACATTTTTGCCTATTTACAGCCTGTTGAATAAGAAACAGATATACCACATTAATATTTCGCAGTCTTCTACGGTTCACTGCACGACAAAACAAAGTAGAAGCACGGATCTGTCTTTCCAGAAATACGTAAACAACCATCTAACACTTTTGGTTAGTTGCTGACATTTAAATTGAAAATAATGCACAGATTCCCCACGATAATAGATAAATGGTGACGATAACTTCCATAACACCGACAAAATAGAATATTGGTAATCTTCAAGACAGATGGTGACAAGATTATTAAATAAAACAAAATCAGAACACTCAAAATACAATCTTCTAAATCATCAGTAAATTTACAACTTCAATAAACCAAACCGAACGTCAAGTATATTTATGATTCTATTCAAATGTGAAAGCAACAACGTAGTCCAATTAGAAAAGTATTCTGCAGCATCATACAAGAATATCAGTTAACAATATATTAAAGCAAATTAACGAAATCAGTTAAAACCCCGATAACTTCAGCAAGCAAAACAATCGATCAAAAAAAATACTAAAACCGACCAGAAAATAAATAGATCATATCTTCTCATTCTACACCGCAAAGTTCATAAAATGCAATACACACAAAACCACATTTCCAAAGAATTCATCACTCTCGTAATAAAATCATTTATCATGAAATCAGATCTATTTAATACAAAAAAAAATCAAACAATCCTCCAGTTCTCACTAAATAAAACAAAAAGTTAATCAATTCACAAAAATATAAAGAAAGTGATTTAACATAAAAATAAAAAATAAATAAGAGGGATTTAGATAAAATTACCTCAAATTTCACTCTCGAATGGAGATAAAAAATCGCGGAAACTCCGAAAACCCCGAGAGAGGGTACAAGCATGTAAAGCTGGACTGGGTTTGGATTAATTATGCATATATAATAAAGTAAATTCAATTTTGCACTATTTAAGTTTTAGTATTTTTTGGGAATTATTGGGTATTGCCCTAAACCAGGTTGTTTCCTGATCATGTATAGTGGAGCCCACCTCAACCTGCTTAAACTTCACTTTCTTTTTGTCCATTTTTCTCAGACGTCGTTCTTCAACACCCCTTTTTTTTCTTTTTAAATGTTAACATTACATTTTTATTCAAGTAAATTATCCTGCCTGTGTGTTTAACTTTGATTATATATACTTGCTAAGAAAAGTAGCTAAAACGACTGCTTAAGTCAATTTATCGAGTCAATATCTTAGGGATTGTTTCTCTCTTTCTGTGACAAGTCAAAAGTTTAGATACTTCTATGTTCTTTTTTTAATTTTTCTACTATTACACTTGGTGGTTTTTAATGATTTGATTAATTTATGGTTACGTGGTATTGCTTGCTCTAACACTACTTTTATTTTTACTTTATTCTCTATATACAACCACATGTCAGTCATAAATCTCATAATTTTTCTTCAATAAAATGTTGTCGCTACCTTAAAAACCCTGTAGTTTAAGTCTTGAAACAACTCATTTGTTCGGGTTGCAAAAACGAGGAGGTGTTTGGCAGTTGAATTGAGCAGAATAAGAAACAAACATCTCACATGTCTGTCTTCTTTGTTTTCGTCGACTAAAACATACTAAACATGCTCGATATCACCAGTTAAAAACTTTTGGGGCACAATGAATTATTGAACCGATGTAAGCAAGAGCAATATGTAAACATCGAAAAGCTTTTCAGATTCAACCTGAGTAAAATAACGTCCATCCAAATGATGTCTTGATCATTGAATATTGGACACGTAAGACTCGAAAATTCTTGCTGAAGGGTTAGGCTTTCAAGGCATAATGTGAAAATTTCCTATTTAGGAGATCTTTTTCTGCATATAGATTCTTCATGGCGCGCGTATCCTGCTTTAATACTTCAGTAAAGTGAAATTGTGGTAATGACTCCTCAAGACCAGGGGCGGACCCAATGAAGGCCCAATGTAGGTAGATGCCTGCACTGGACTTGGGTCACCTTATTTAGTGGTTGGTGTTGCTCGGCTAACTAAAAGTTTTTCAATTCTCTGCTTGAAGATTAGCGTGTAGATCTGCACAGGACTTGGGTTACCCCATTTAGTGGTTGGTGTTGCTTGGCTAGCTGAATGTTTTTCAATTCTCTACTTGAAGATTGGATGATTAGACTGCACCAATATGAATTTGAACACAGTACGCATAAAAGAAGTGGATGATTAGACTTCACACGCTCCAATTACAAGCTTCAATCAGAGTAAGTATCATAGAATAAATTCAAACAAAATCGGATCTCTAATTAACATTAAAATAAGTTTGAACACAGTACGCATAAATTCAAAGAAATAGGATAAGTGCAAGGCCATATTAGCACTAAGCGGTTTAGAGGAACTTGTGAAATTTAACACTTGTGTGTGTGATTTCATTGGTATTGTCACAAGGAATAACTGGTTCAATGTGTTATAGCTACCAGGAATTTCGATAATGCTTTATGAGATTTACACTACAATTATATTCAAATCGAAAGATATTTAACTCTTATGCATAAATGTTGATA